GGCAGTTCTGGAGAAAAAAATCGGCTCACGCTGTGTGATTTTTTTCTTGAAATTACCGGTAAATTTGGACAGTAACGAACGGGGTAGTCTCCCTTAAAATAGGTCATTTTGGGGAGAATAGGCTCCAGTTTTTTTAAAAAATCATTAATGAAATTTTTCATAACTTTTTTTTTCTTCCTTTTCAGCTACAATCACCGGAGCATTTCAAATTGCTAATTGCTGATTTGAGGAGAGCGACCAGAGCTTTCTCCTCTCAGCCGGATCTGCCCATTCCTCCCATTGAACATTTCGAGCGTTTCGCAGCATTTGATCCTACGGATGGTAAACTCTTTAAATATTCCCAGCCTTTTTTTAATAGTTTTTTTAAACCTAAATTTAATGGTTTGACAGCAGGATCTTTTCCTTTTTGCGGGAATAGGCTCGCCCAATATTTTCGCCGAAAAAATTGTCGTATTAATAAAAACTGGGCTTTGCTATTTTCAGTCTGAGTGGGGACTGAAATTATAGAAATTGTTAGTTTTTTTTTGTCTCGTATTAAAATATTTGAGCCAAAAACCGTTTTTTTTTTATTTTTTATGAGAGGCAAAAGCATTTAGAATTAGCACATATGGTAGTGGGTTCCAGCCGACAAGGCTACCGATGCCTCCCTCTTCCGAAGGTTGCTCAAAAATAGCAGTTGATGGCGGATTTGATTCCTTAGCGTACTCTGTATCAGTTTACTCTCGAAATTATCGGTCGGATCGTAGAGGAATTGAATGTCCCACTAGTGAAATTTCTTACCAGCTATGGACGCTTATTTTGTATATTTTATAAATTTTAAAAATTCGTTGGTTCAGTGCCTTTCATCGTTTTCATAGATTTTTGATCGCCTTTTATAAATACGAGAAGCAGAGTTAGTTTCTGAGGACGCGCACTGGTTCATTATCAGCGATGTAGTTTTGCCACCATTGTTCAGGCTCTCTGGATCTTATTTCTCCCATTTCACGGATCTTTCCTATTTTGGCATATTTTCAGAGCGAGGAAGAAAATTATAATTTAATTTTTGCTTTAAGTCGGGGAAATTTTACGTCATATTTGATACTGATCTTTGATCTGACTTGCAACTAAGTGGTTTTAGTGGTTTTTCAGCTGCAATAAAAATTAGCCTATTCACCTTCCGTTTTTTCCTGAGTTTATGCGAATACGATCTACAGCTAGTCGATTTCACTTTTGTGGACAATCTGAGCATGAGAAACATCGCTTTTGCTAAGTTGTAGAGCTGTTGCGGTTCCTGTAGATGAGTCCTTAATATTTTTTTGATTTTCAGAGTTACCAAGTTGGCAAATTACAGCGGAACTTTTCCATTCTCTATTGTGCATTGTGAGGCCATACGTGGAGTTCATGAGGCGAAGGTTTTTATTTTTTTTGTCTTTTTGATTTGCATGAAATTTTTTAGCAATGATTTGATTACTTCGTTATTAGTTTTGTTCAGTTTACGGAAGAATTTTCTAGGGGCAACGATACTGGAAAAGGGTTATCGCATGCTTGCCACAGTACGCGATTTCCCAGGTGAGCGATTTATTTGCGTTGAAATAGAAACAGCATCGTTTTTATTATTTTCGGTTTTTCTGTACGCTTTTCAAACAGTAATAGTTTTGAGTTCTGTGTTGCGTTAAAGCGCTGAGATGAATTTTTACAGTTTTGTTAAAGTTTTTTCCTACAGGATTTTTTTTTATTTTCGGAAAAAAACTATTTATTTTCTTTTTTCCTTTCACGGCACACAGTTTCCCACGCTTAAAAGTGAGAAAAAACTTCTAGTTTTCTTCACAAAAACGACAGAAATAGCGATAACTGAGTTCTATAATTTGTGACGGATGTAGTTGGAACATATGAAAACAAGAAAATTCGTTTCAACGTAGTAGAAGAAATGTTAGAAGTCCAGAACCGATCAAACTGAATGCTTTTCAAACTAGATTGATGGTTAGAGCGCTTCAGTAACAGTTGACCGTGTAATTTTTTTTTAGGGACATTGCATCTGGCCAATTAAATGCCTGTCCTGAAAGACCACAGTTGCCTCGAATGGTATTTGATCTAACGTATTTAACGGCCTCACCACCGGTACTGCCTCCGCCACCACCGCTATCACGACCACCACCACCACCACCACCACCACCCCGTCCACCTCTGCCAGCACGACCACCACCACCAGTAGTACCAATGCTTGGAAACCCTTCAACTGCTGTTTCGCCCTGTAGCAATGATTGTTTCATTAGGATGCCACTACCACGACCACCGCCGCCGCCACCACGTTAGTTTTTTTTTTTTTTCATGAAAAATGCAGTTTGCTGACATATTCATTAATCCAAATAACACACTAAAAATTGGCATTTTTTATCGCGGAAAACCCGCAACAGGCCGATCAATAAGCCGTTCCAATGAGAACGGGAAAGGAAAGGTGTGTCCTGCCTTGAAAGGCAAATACACAGTAAATGTGCTGCCAAGCTGAACCTAGAGCACAAGGACCGGTGGTGTAGTGGCAACGCTCTGCGTCCGAGCATGAGGAGGGATGGTTCGACCTCCTCCTGGGCCACAGTGATTTTTGGAGAAAGGGCTCCGTTCACGGTATTTGCTACCAGAAAATCGCATCGCCAAAAAAAGTGATTTCATTTTTGTGCTTTTGTGAACATATACAGGTGGTAAAACTCATTTTAATGAAACTGCTTCCTGCAGCCGCTACAGGTGTTTAGTGAAATGAAGAAATACGACGGGGAAAATGTTTTTTTTTTGCAGTTACTCGGCTTGGAGGTTTGATAGCTCCATCATCGCTACCGCGTCCACCGCTGCCTATGCCCGGAACGCTCTCGCCTGGGCCAGTGCCATTACCGCCGACTCAGCCGCTAATTCCGCTTGTCATACCAGCAGCAGCAGATAATTCGCCGCTTCCTCTGCCGTCGACAGTTGGCCCAGCCACAGTACCCAGTGTCGATATGCAGTATGCTGACCGAACTGCTTCTTCAGCTACGGTTCGTTGCTTCCTTTCATGATTAACCCCTATTTTGCTTCTGGCTTTCGATTGTATGTAGACTTAGCCCCGCAGCAACACGCCATATGAGCGGCGTGGTCGTCCAAATAAATTTGTACATCGCGAACTCACTTGGTTTTATGAGCAACCTTGTTGGGGCTCGGCGCATATGGAAAATCGTACAGCTAAATTTAGTTTCGTTTTGTACTTGCGCTACGACTTAAAGCGCTTCAAAGATATTTGTAGCAGTGTGACTATTCCGCTTACCAGACAAGCTGCGAAACTGAAAATTTGCAAGGATATTCTGTGTTCACTTGTAGTCTTAATTCAGCTTAAAGTGAATCCCCTGCGCACGGACGTGAAAAGTACTTAATTTTATCGCAAACTCAAAAGCGAGTGCATTTTGCAGACTTCATAATTTTTTTTTCCTATTTCTTTCGAAATTGCATTTTTTTCTGCGAGCAAGCATTCAACGGAAAAACGTCTGAGTTTCATGCAAGAAACTGGTAATCATGCACGCTGGAGATCCATGTGGCCTCATTATGCAATACTTTTATCCCAGCCGATGCCCTTCCCCTGCACGCAGGAAGAGGCCAAACACAGCCAATTTGAATCCAAATGTTAAAATACAACGTGGAGACGATTCCTGCTGTTAGCAAGTTAGCGCAAAAACGCATGATCACACCGGCAAACTCGGTAACTTACAGCCTGCGTTCACAGTGTAGTACTACTTGTTGATGTTTGACTTCCGTCAATTGTTGCAAAGTGGGTAACGCCCTTTACCTGTCGATTTTATTTCCCCTGTTTGTAATTACGATGCCTTGTTACGCCATTTGTCTTGCAGAATTTTTAATTGTCAAACTATATTCAC